TTTTTTTTTTTTTTTTAAATGGCTATATAGTATTGCATGGTGTATATGTACCACATTTTCTTTATCCACTCTACCCTTGATGGGCATTTAGATTGATTCCATGTCTTTGCTATTGTGAATAGTCCTGCAGTGAACATACACGTGCATGTGTCTTTATGTTAGAGTGATTTCTGTTCTTTTAGGTATATACCCAATAGTGAGATTGCTGGGTCAAGTGCTAATTCTGTTTGAGTTCTTTGAGTAATTGCCAAACTGCTTTCCACAATGGCTGCAATAATTTACATTCCCACTAACAGTGTATAAGCACTCCCTTTTCTCCACAACCTCACCAGCATCTGTCATGTTTTGACTTTTTAGTAATAGCCATTTGGCTGGTGTGAGATGGCATCTCATTGTGGTTTTGACTTGCATTTCTCTAATGACCAGTGATGTTGAACTTTTTTTTATATGATTGATTGCCAGATTGAAATGTGTCTGTTCATGTCTTTTGCCCACTTTTATTTTTGTAAATTTGTTTAAATTCTTTATAGGTGCTGGATATTACACCTTTGTCAGATGCATTATTTGCAAATATTTTCTTCCATTCTGTAGGTTGTTTATTCTTTTGATAGCTTCTCTTGCTGTGCAGAAGCTCTTCAGCTTAATTAGGTCTTATTTGTCAGTTTTTGTTGTTGTTGCAATGGCATTTGGCATCTTTGTCATGTAAACTTTGCCAAGTCTTATGTCCAGAATGATGTTTCCTAGGTTATCATTCAGGGTTTTTATAGGTCTGGGTTTTACATTTAAGTCTTTTATCCGTATTGAGATGATTTTTGTATATGGTATAAGGGAGGGGTTCAGTTTCCATCTCTGCATATGGCTAGTCAGTTATTCCAGCATCATGTATTGAAACAGGGAGTCCTCTTTCCATTACTTGTTTTTATCGACTTGGTTGAAGATCAGGTGGTTGTAGGTGTGTGGCACTATTTCTGGGCTATTTTGTTTTATTTGTCTATTTGTCCGTTTTTGTACTAGTATCATATTGTTTTGGTTCCTATAGCCTTGTAGTATAGTTTTGAGTATTGTGATGCCTCCAGCTTTTTAAAAAAGTTGTAATTGCCTTAGCTATTTGGGCTTTTTTGTTGGCTCATGTGATTTTTAAAACAGTTTGTTCTAATTCTGTGAAGAATATCATTGGTAGTTTGATAGGAATAGCATTGAGTGTGTAAATTGCTTTGGGAGGTATGGCCATTTTGGTGATATTGATTCTTCCTATCCTTGAGCATGGAATGTTTTCCTGTTTGTTTGTGTTATCTCTAATTTCTTTGAGCAGTGCTTTGTAATTGTCATTATAGGGATCTTTCACCTCCCTGGTTAGCTGTATCCCTGGGTATTTTATTTTGTTTGTGGCTATTGTGAATAGGTTTGTGGTTTTTTTAATTTTATTCTCAACTTGGATGTTATGTTGTTGGTGTATTGGAATGCTACTGATTTTTGTACATTTATTTTGTATCCTGAAACTTTGCTGAAGTTGTTTATCAGAAAAAGGTGATTTTGGGCAGAGATTCTCGGGTTTTTTATGTGTAGAATCTTATTGTCTGCAAACAGAGATAGTTTGATTTCCTCTCTTCCTATTTGGGTGCCTTTTATTTCTTTCTCTTGACTGATTGCTCTGGCTACAACTTCTAGTACTACATTGAATAGAAGTGGTGAGAGTGAGCATCTTTGTCTTGTTCTGATTTTTAAGGGGAATGCTGCCAGATTTTACCCATTCAGTATGATGTTGGCTATGGGTTTATCATAGATGACTCTTATTATTTTGAAGCGTGTTCCTTCAGTGCTTAGTTTGTTGAGGGTTTTTAACAAGAAAGGATGTTGAATTTTGTCAAAAGCCCTTTCTACATCTGTTGAGATTATCATGTAGTTTTTGTCTTTAGTTCTATTTATCTGATGTATCACATTTATTGATTCATGCATGTTGAACTTCCTTGAATCCAAGTAGGGATAAAGCCCACTTGACCATGGTGGATTAGCTTTTTGATGTGTTGCTGGATTTGATTTGCTAGTATTTTGTTGAGGATTTTTGCATTTATGTTCTTGAAGGATTTTTGTGTGTGTGTGTGTGTGTGTGTGTGTGTGTGTGTGTGTGTCTGCCAGGTTTTGGTATCAGGATGATGCTGGCCTCACCAAATGAGTTAGGGATGAGCCTCTCCTCCTCAGGGTTTTCTTTTCTTTTCTTTTCTTGAATAGTTTCAGTAGGAATCGTACCAGCTCTTCTTTATACATCTGCTAGAATTTGACTGTGAATTTGTCTAGTCCTGGGCTTTTTCTGGTTGGGCTTTTTTATTACTGATTCTGTTTTGGAACTCATTATTGGACTATTCAAGGATTTAATTTCTTCCTGGTTCAATCCTGGGAGGAGGTATGTTTCCAGGAATTTCTCAATTTTTTCCTGTTTTTCTAGCTTGTGTGCAGAGAGGTATTCACAGTAGTCTTTAAGGGTGTTTTATATTTCTGTGGGGTAAGAAGTGTCACTTCTGATTGTGTTTATTTGGATCTTCTCCCTGTTTTTCTGTATTAGTCTAGCTAACAGTCTATCTTATTAGTTATTAAAAAAAGCAACTCCTGGATTTGTTGATCTTCTGAGTGTTTTTCACTGTCTCAATTTTCTTTAGTTCAACTCTGATTTTGGTTATTTATTGTCTTCTGCTAGCTTTGGGGTTTATTTGCTCCTGTTTCTCTGGTTCCTCTAGTTGTGATATTAGATCATTAATTTGAGATCATTCTAACTTTTTGATGTGGAAATTTGGTGCTCTAAACTCCTTGTAACAACATTTTAACTGTGTCCCAGAGATTCTAGTATGTCATGTCTTTGTTCTCATTAGTTCCAAATAATTTATTAATTTTCACCTTAATTTCATTATTTCCCCCAAAGTCATTCATGAGCATTTTGTTTATTTTCCATGTAATTGTACAGTTTTGAGTGATTTACTGAGTACTGATTTTTATTTTTATTTAGTTGTGGTCCAACTGTGTGGTTGGTATGATTTTGCTTTTTTGAATTTGCTGAGGATTGTTTTGTGTCTGATTGTGTGGTCGATTTTAGGGTATGTGCCATGTGCAGATGAGAAGAATGTACATTCTGCTGTTTTGGAGTAGAGACTTCTATAGAAGTCTATTAGGTTCATTTGGTCAAGTGTTGAGTTCAGGTCCTAAATATCTTTGTTAGTTTTCTGTCTTGATTATCTGTCTAATACTGTCAGTGGGGTGTTAAAGTCTCTCACTATCATTGTGTGATTATCAATTACCTTTGTAGGTCTCTAAGAATTTGCTTTATGAATCTGGGTGCTCTTGTGTTAGGTGCCTATATATTTATGATAATTCATTCTTATAGAATTGAACCCTTTACCATTATGTAATGCTGTTCTTTGTCTTTTTTGATCTGTGTTGGTTTAAAGTCTATTTTGTCTGAAATAGATTGCTTTTTTCTGTTTTCTGTCTTTTTTCCATTTTCTGTCTTTTCTGTTTTCTGTCTGCTTGGTAGATTTTTTTGTATCATTGCATGTGACCTGGGTCTCTTGAAGACAGCATACCATTTGATCCTGTGTCATTATCCAACTTGCCACTCTGTGCCTTTGAAATGGGGCATTTAACCCATTTACATTCAAAGTTAGCATTAATATGTGTGAATTTGATCCTGTCACTGTGTTGTTAGCTCATTATTGTGCAGATTTGTTTGTGTGATTGCTTTATAGTATCACTGGTCTGTGTATTTAGGCATGTTTTTGTAGTGGCCAGTAATGGCCTTTCCTTTCCATATTTAGTACTCTCTTCAGGACCTCTTATAAGGCAGGTCTGGTGGTATTGAATTCTCTTAGTATTTGCTTGTCTGAAAAGGATCTTATTTTTCCTTTGCTTTGAAGTGTACTTTGGCTACATATAAAATTCTTGGTTTGAAATTCTTTTCTTTAAGAATGCTGAATATAGGCCCCTGATCTCTCCTCTCTTATAGGGTTTCTGCTCTAAGGTTAGCTGTTAGCCCGATGGGTGATGTAGGTGACCTGCCCCTTCTTTCTAGCTTCCTTAAACTTTCTTTCTTTCTTTTCTTCCTTGGAGAATCTGATGACTGTGTGTCTTGGTGATGATCTTCTTGTGTAATATTTCACAGGGTTTCTCTTCATCTCCTGAACTTGAATGTTGTCCTGTCTACCAAGGTTGGGGAAATTTTCATGGATGGTATCCTGAAATGTATTTTCCAAGTTGCTTGCTTTCTCTTTTTCTCTTTGAGGAATGCTGATAAGTCATAGACTTGGTCTCTTTAAATAATCCCATATTTCTCATTCTGTTCATTCTTCTTCATTATTTTTTCTTCATACTTGTCTGAGTTATTTTGGAGGACTGGTCTTCATGCTCTGAGATTCTTGGTTCAGCTGGTCAGTTCTGCTGTTAATAACTTGCAGTTGTATTCTGAAATTCTTGAGTTTTTCAGCTCTAGCATCTCAGTTTAGTTATTTCTTAAAATGGTCATTTCATCTTTCATCTGCTGTATCATTTTATTGTATTCTTTAGATTTTTTGGATTGGGTTTTAACATTCTTCTGAATCTTGATGATCTTCATTCCTGTCCATATTCTGATTCTATTTCTGTCATTTCAGCTATTTCAGCCTGGTTAAGAACCATTGCTGGGGAACTAGTGCAGTCATTTGGAGGTAAGAAGACTCTCTGGCTTTTGGAGTTGCCAGAGTTCTTGCGCTGGTTCTTTTTCATCTTTGGGGGCTGATTTTCCTTCAGTCTTTGAAGTTGCTATCTTTTAGATATTTTTGGGTTTTGTTTGCTTTATTTTCTTTGGTGTTGTTGGGTGTTTGATTATGGTATAAGGTGGGTTTGGTCAACTGGCTTCATTTCTGGAATATTTTAGGGGGCCAGTGCTCAGTTCAACACTCCTGAGCTGTGTGCTTTAACTCTGGGGGGCTCATTTTGGGCCCCCTGCTTTCTTCTCTGGCTCCTCAGGGTTAGGAACCTGTTGCCCTGATGGGCGGTGACAGCCAAAGAGCTTCACTGGGTGGTGGAAATGAGATCTGTGCTCATTTGTACACGCCAGAAATAGCAGCGGTGTGATGAGGTGCATGCTCATCAGCTGGAGTGGGGCACTGGTGGGCCAGGGGTTTCCAGCCTCCATACAGGCATTTGTATGTGGCAGTAATAGTGGGTGCGGTGGGGCACTGGCAGGTGTGGGGCTGATGGTCTCCATGTGTGCATTCACACTGGAGGCAATGGCAGCAAAGGCAGGGAGTGGGGCTGCTGATCTTCATTTGTGTACTTGTGCTAACAGTGGTGGTACAGCTGGGTGAATGGGAGCAGGTTGTGCTCATGCTGGCAGCAGTGGCACAGTGGGTTGTAGATACGTCCTGGCAGGGAAGGGTAGGCAAGGTCTTCTGGCACATACACACTGGCAAAATGATATGGGGGTGGCCTTGGATGAGTACATGCCAGCAAAGTGTTACAGAGGATGCTGCAGTGGTGGGAGGGTGCAGGTGGGCTGACATGCCTTGGCAGGGGCCACTGTGCTGGAGCTATTTGATTGTCAGGCACAGTCTGCCAGCACAGGAGCTATTATGCATGTCCCTGGGAGACACCCCAGTTGAGCATTTGCGGCTGCACTGCAAGCAGGAGAGGCCAGCACACAGGGGTCACTCAGGTCAGACTGGCCCAGATCTCTTCAGGTCTGACAGCTCCCCTAAGGCTAAAGTTTCCTAGGGGAGCATGGGACGCCTTGGGGGATGAGCATCCCTGGTCATGCTTCACTGCAGACATTGCTGCCCCAAACCCTTTGGGCTCCAGCCAGCTGGAGCCCTGCCCCTACCACCTCTCTAAGTAACTGTCCTTTCCAGCTTACGTTTCTGTGGGGGTCGTGTGGTCTCCTGCTGCCAGGATTCTACAAGTCCATGGTGAGAGTAGGTCATTCCTTGCCTGCTCAACTCACCACTACCCCAGGGGCAACTGAGGGCCAGGAACTGATGTATGGTAGCCCCATGCGGGGCTGCCAGCTTTCTCCCGCTTAAGCCCAACATCTGTGTCCTCCCTCTAGCCATTCTCAATGCTTTCCTTCTGAAGATCTGCTTAGAGTCTTCCTGATGTCCTGGTCCCTCAATGGCAGATGTTCCTTCTGGCTGTGTCTATTCAGCTATCTTGCCTGGAGAATCCCGTGTATTTTGATCTTTGGCTTCTGCATTAGAAAGATTTCTCAATTTTCTGATCACTTTTGCCTTTCACTTCATTATTAAAAGTGGGAAATATAAAAGCTGCCTGGAAGTTCTGAGCTCATGCATAAAGCTTACTGACTTCAAGCTTCAATGTGAGGGAACTGGGTGAACTGTGTCTTGGGAATGATGAATCAGTGCTGTCTTTAGACCTATGGGAGAGGTGCTTCAGCTTTAGATGTCCTGGATATGTACCATTTCTGGCTTTGCCCTGCTTCATGGGATGATGTGTCTAAAGTGCAAAGGAAAAGGGCTTGTCTAAGGATTTCTCTACCCTTTTCTAGACTATGCTTTGGATTCTTAGAATTCCTGCCCCAACAGCTCCAGACCTGCTTCTAGGATCTGCATAGGCCTCTTCTTCTGGTCTAGTCTCCCAGGAGTCATGTGGAGTGGGCGGGCATAGGACTAAGGAAGGCCTTCCTTTGGGGCAGCAGTTTGCATGGGCTTTGGAGAAAGCTTGGGGATATGGTCTGTAATGTCTGTATACATATGCACAAGGACTTTCGTGTTTTGAACAGATCCACGGAGTGGAAAGAGAAGGAGGTCTGACTGTGGACCACAAGAACTATGTTTTGTTCTAATACTCCTTGGAGTACAAGAATTATGAGTTTCAGCATCTCATTTAGGTAACTACAAAGGAATATTTATCAGGATAGGAAGATAGAACATATTTCACTTAACAGTTTTGGGAATTCACATTAAACTTATACAGAAATAGGGAATGCAGGTCTTTATATTCTTGCCTTGAGCCTTATAAATGTTGGGAGTGGGCCTGTTCTCATGTTAATGTATTTCCTCATGGTTTTGTCAGATTCCATTGAGATGAGTTTTCAATGTTTTTCTAAGAAAGTAAGGTTCTGGCTGCCAGCTTTTAGGGAATTCAGTGTGGGAAGAAAGCTGGGGATCACTGCAGTCTTCAGATGATCAATTAATCTTCATTTTCTGTAAGGTAACTGCACCTGCCCACAATGGGTGGTGGATATCTGGTGATCTAACATCCGTTGCTTCTATCTTAACCACCTCCTTTAACCTCAGCTCCTGAGGCATGCGGTACGCCAGTTTGCAAGCCTTTTGAGGGTTTTTCAGTACAAACTGTTTTGGTTCATGTCTATCCCCACCAGTGGTTTAGGATTTGACTCTCTAAGGGCTCTGAGTCAGTTACCAATTTTTCATCTACTTCATCTGTTGTTTTCTCCTTATTTTTGTTCATTTCTTTAAAAAATCTATTTACTGTAGGTTAGTAGTATTTCTGGTGAGAGATTAATATGTGTGTTAAATCTGCCATCTTATTCTAGAACCCAGCTTGTTCTTTTCACTTAGAACTTGTGAATTCCGTTTAATCCCTGTAATAAAAGTTCCATTATGAAGGTTGAGTATTGACTCATGCTTACTGGACCTTAACAAAGTCTCTGCTACCAAAATAAGATGAATTGTTGAGCTCAGGGATAGTGACACTAGAGCTCAGGTGATAAGTGCTCTCACTACTCCTAAGTAAAATAGAGGAAATGTCAAGGAAGCTTGGCCATTGGTTAACAATAGTGTTGAAGGAAGATGGTAATTTTTGAAAAGTTTCTGCTTTCTTTTCGCCATGTAAAGGCCCAAATGGAAGTGTCAGGTTACAATATTTTTCTACTCTAGTTGTTTTTTTACATGGCAGAAAGAGTAGAAGTTAGTTTTAAGAAAACTGGAATATAACTTATTAAACTACTGCTAGCTAATGCTTGTAGTACTATGCTAAATTAAAAGAAAGATGATTGGGTAGGTCTATTTTCTGGCTAAATATGCTCAAAAGATAGTGAAAAGAGTAAGGGAGAATAAAAATTGATGTTTTGATAATTTGTTTTTGAATATAGTGTTGTATTGAATCTTTACAAAATCCTATATGACATCTTTTCTAAACACCATAGTCTTTAAACCAAGGCTCAGAAGAATTGACTAAGTAGCTAACTTGAGTAATTTGCAAGACCAAAGCAGTACTGGGATTTGAACCCAGCAGTGGATGACAGCAAATCCTTTCTACTGCATATTGCTACCTTCTTGGAATAAATTTGACAGTTGTTGGTAATCATGCTATAAAATTGTGGTAGAGAATATCCTTTTTTTCTTTCTTTTTTCCTCACAATTAACAGCTAAGTATTGCTCAATCAAAAGCAGTTACTCTTACTTTGCTCCTCGAAGAACAGGCGAAGTTGTAGATTTTATACCCATATTAGAGATGAATGACATGTCTTTGAAAACTTCTTGTTAGCTATTCCTCTTGATTCCATATCTTGAATATACAATCTCTAATTGTAGTTTAAAATGTCTGCTACCAAATACATTGAATTTATACTTGGACCAGACTAACTCCAAACACTGCTAATAGAAGGAAACCAGAGGTGTTGACAGGATTCCTGCATATCTATAAAATATATCTCCTAACTTAAGTAAATGGATAAACATTGATTAAAATCTATTTTCTACTTTTGCACATTTGATATTAAGAGGAAATATCATTAAGCAAGATTCCAATGTGGATGCTCATGTTAATTATAGCTATATTCCATTTCCAGATTTATTATCTAGGTCAAAATTCCAACTTTTCCTCATCATTCTTCAAATATTAGAAATTCTATTCTGCTCTTATCTTGGTGGATCAACTTATTTCAGTCTTTACAGTAACTCTAGCTGAAGATGATGAATCACTATTTTTAAGAGATGTCCTTATTGAATTTCCCTTCCTTTTCCTACAAAGAGGCATGATTGCCATGCTGAAAACTTTTTGATGCTGCTTTTTATCTTTTAAAAGAAGGATAAATATTCTTTTAGAATGATTATTACTCCCCCAAAGATATGATGCTTACAAAAGTGCTCCTTATCCTCTGCTGACTGCCTCTTGCTTACCTTGCTTCTTGTCTACCCTGGAAAGGTGACTTGCACCTGAAAGATAGACTTTCTCTTTTGCATACAAACAGTCATTAAGCCCATCTTCCTCCTCCTTTTTATACTCATTTATTGAATATCTGCCATTGCTTTACTAGGCATTGGGGAAGTGAAGGTAAACAATCCACACTCACTCACAGGCTTCCATAGTTCCACAAAATCTTGGATGCCTTAAAGATTTATGTATGCAGGACTTTAGAAACATAAAGGAATGGGGTAGTGGGTTTGATTAGGTCTCCCTAGCAGAAACCAATCTAGGAGGTAACATTGAGATACAAACACTATTTCTTTTTCTCTAGACCACCTTTGCTCCTCCAGCTAAAATATCAAATGAGGCTTCATGTTCTTCGGAGAGCCTAAAATCTACCCCTCCGCCTAGGCAAGAATTAGCCCCTCTTTCCTATAGTTTTCAAATGACTAAGTTCATACATTTAATTTGGTCTGTGTTATACTTATTATTTTTTTGTTTATATATATGCCTTCTCTACTACTTGGAGATTCTTCAAGGTTTTTTATGCATTTTAAATGTATCTTCTTCTGTGTATTATGAATTTTTAAGGGTCTAGTACTTTGTATTTTCAGACACATTTATTGATGATGGCTTTAAAAATACACTCAATGAGTGAATGATTGTAAAAAATTATTAGAGAACACCACTGCCTTATCATTTGCTTGCTACTTTCCAGTTGGTTAATTCAAAATTTTGAAAGTTTTATGTTAAATCATGGATTTAATAGTGTAATTGTACTTTTAAAATAAGAAATTTGTAGATACTTTTTTTTTAAGTTTTGGAAAGAAGACTGTTTTTCAGTATTTCAGGACTCTTGTGATTATATCTGAAGTAAATTCTATACACTAAAGCCACTGTGTGTGTTTGACACTACCTAAGTAGGATATTTTATAAGGTGCGTAACTTAGTCATGTCTTACTGTTTTCTGAGATCCTGCTGTTACTACACTTACATTGGCCATCCTTAACATTAGTTGGATTTGCCTCTTCTAGAAGTTGTTTTTTGTTCTTTTCTTTCTAATATTTTATGCCTTTAGTTCTAGTGTTGGCCACCAGGTAGCAATAGTGCCTTGAGTAGCTCAAGTCTCATAAATAGGAAGCTGTTGTAGACAGACAAAAAGATGAAGTTCTCTGCATTCAGGAAGGAAAGGATTAAGTGTTCAGAATCCTCAATTTTTAATTCCTCTCTGGCACTACGTCCTCATGTTGTCTATTACAAATGCAAGCACAAATTTATGCATAAGCATAAAAAATGCAAGTACAATTATCAACTGGCCATGAGCAGCCTCCCTGTTCTGCCAGTCCATCGTTACCGTGACAATTCACTTCATCTCAGGGCCACTGAAATACAATGAGATGAAGGACAGTTGGCAAGGGGCAACATGGATCATGCTAGGGAAGTGTGTGACAACTGCAAACAAGAAGAGACTGAAATAATAAAAAAGGTATAAGGAGAAAGTACTTCTTTCTTTTTATGGACATTATCTAAACCCATAATATTTATGAGATTGTTTTTTAACCATGAAAAACATATTTATGCTGATATAGAAAAATCAAATATGTTATTTTAGATTTTTCTTCTTCCTTCACCCTTAGCGATACCTCTGGGTATTCTAGTTGTGCGTGGAGACTGTGATTTGGAGACTTGCCGTATGTACATAGACCGCCTACAGGAGGTGAGTTTATTTAGCCCATTACTTATTCTCAACTTTCCATTTTTGTAAACAATTACCAGCCATACGTATTTGCTTCTGAAATGATGCATTTGGAGAGGAAATGGAAATGTGGTGGCTTTGTCCTTCAAGCATACGCTGTATGTCACCCTCTCCCACTGTCTCTGTTGTTCACTCCTCAGATAGTTGAAATGGGAAAGCATTGACTGGTTTAACTACAGGGTGCTGTTGCCCTGGTGTGTTTGTAACTATAGCTTGGAACTTGTCATCTTACCAGACACATACCTGTATATTTGAGATGTTCAGAATTTCAACAGGGACTGTTAAATTATGAAAGAAAACAGTGATATGTAATGTTTTGTGTCTGATGCTTATGTCAGAGACAGTTAGATTTTGTAAACAAAAAAAAAATAAAACTTCTGTAGGAAGCAAAAATCCTCTACATTTCATAGTAATTTGTCAGAACACAAAGAATAATCTATTATTTTTTTTTCTTAATCTGGTCTTGCTTTAGAGAAACAGAAAGGAAGTGACCCCAATATATGGCACTCCCAAATGTGAACTGCACCAGCAAAACCAGGGGACCCAAACTCATCCTTACAATTGTTGTTGGTTGTTTCTGCAAAAATTTGAGGGGGAGTTTTAACTGTCTCCATTCCACAAATTGCAAAAAGCATAAATGACGATTTCTTTATCATTGTTTTTTGATGAAAGATGTATATTAGAGCCACTTTTCTTGGTGTGGCCTAGACATTTGTATTTTTACAGCTGTTGGGTGGTACCCAGCTGATACCCCTTGATAAGCAACTCTGTCCCAGTCAACATGTTATACATAGGTAAAGATTGTAAATAAAGTCAATACATACTGTTTAAAATCACTCTGAATTGTAACCTCTTATCCCTGAATATTTGATTCTGTTTCTCTTGGTGGAAATAAGTTCAGGTGGGAGGCACATAGTGATGTGAGAAATTACTGATTTTGAGAAATAGATGACAAATCTTGAATACTGATATGGATGAGAGAAAGATGGTCAACGAATTTTATACTTACGGCTTCGTTAAGCTATTTTGACTGAGGATAGCGACTTAAACAAGTTAAAATATATGAATTTTTAGTGACTCAGGTCCAATTCTATTAATATGTTCCCAAACTTCTAGTATCTCATTTCCCAAAATAATGTTTGTATTTTGCTGTGGAATCTCACTCCAGAAACCTGTAATGAAAAAAATGAATCATAATTGGTGCCAAACCTTTTTACCTTTTTTTTTTAAATTAACATTTGTAGAGCTTTGTTAACAAGACTTCACAGTAGAATAATATTAATACACGATTGATGAATTGACTTTGTTAAAATCCAACTTAACTAACTGAATAGCATGTTTATTGTACCAATATTCAACTAAAAGTAGGATTTTTAAAAAAGAGGCAACTCAACATATAAAGAGGAAAAGTTCTTAAAACTAATGGAAAGTACTTTGATGAAACGCTGTGGGAAATAGGTGTAAGGACAAAGGTACCCAGGATTGCTGACATCTATAAATAGAATCATGACACTCATTAGCAAGGAAGCCTAGGAGGCATGACAATGGTGACAAGTTCGTTATAAAACTTTATGAAAGGAGTCAGGCTTTCACAATCTGCCAGTAAAACCTCATTAATTTCAACCCTGTTAATTTGCACTTCGTGATAATGTGGAGGTGGTTGGTGATTTTTCTCTTTGTAGTCTATGAAAACCCCTATTTGCTAAGCGACTTATCAGTATAAACAGTTACCATGACAGTATGTATCTGGTCTAAGGTAAAGAAAAGCTTCCTAATTGTTTAAGGGGATTTCCAAAGCCTTCTTCACAAGCCTAAAGTTCACATGCAAATTAAATATAATCCCCATTTACTAGAACAAAATTGCCTATCTTTTACTTCTGGTCTCCTCTATAGGAGATTGAAATAATAATATATCACTTACCTGTAAACACTATGTAGGACTTACAGGTTTCAATAGCTTAATGACCTTCTCTCAGTCCAACTTGGTTTGCTTTTATGATTTCTGGCATTACCTTCTTTATTTAACCTTTATGAATTTGGGTGTGTTGGATACTTTCCAGATGAGCATAAGAATAGTAAATTGGGAGTTCAGTCGAGATCGAGTTGTGGGGCAGCTTCTTCAAACTAATTTTAAGGTATGGATTTTTTTTTTCCGTTTTCTCATTAGGACCTACAGTCAGTTTCTTCTGGCTCCCAGAGAGTTCATTACCAGGTAACAAATAATTGACTCTCCTTGTTTCTTACCTTCCGGCCAAATGAAGTCCATCTTTCAATTAATGTCTCATTTTGATTTAGAGTTCACATCTTCCCAAGGGATAGAGTTCATTCTAAAAACCTAGTGAAAATGGTATTCTGATTCTTTTGTGTTTTCCTGATTTTCGACCACCCTAGTCTAGCACAAATTTGGACTGTGGATTTTCTCCTAGATCAGTTAGAAAAGGTTATAACATTGAGTGCTTTTGGTAACAAATACCAGAAAACTCAGCTGAAACTAGCTTAGCAGGGAAAGGGTCTCTTGGTTCACATAAGCAAAAAGTCCAGATCAAAGTGGATTTCTCATCCCATTTGGTCATGGCTCACACTCCACTTTCCTGCTGGTCCTTCTGTTTTGTTCTCCTCTTCCTGTCAATTTTACTTCTGGTTTAGATGACCTTGTGGTCCAAGATGACTGCCTTTAGCCACTAGGACTATGTTTTTTCCGTCACCTCCAGAAAAAGAGAATTCCCTGCTTCCTACAACCGTCAAGCAACAGTTTTAAAATGTAATCTGAGTGGTTCATCCTGGTCTTTTGGACAATCTAATAAACTCAGTCTGCGTCTCTCTATGGCCCATATAAAGTCCGTAGGAGAGCACTCTTATTCTTTGTCCCAGCAGACTTTGGGGGTGCAGTTTCTTTCCAACTTCCTCATCCCGCTTGTGATGCAGAGATCTCTTCAGCCATCTTCTTACCCGTTAGATTTCTCAGACATGATGTAGATCCTAGCACACAGTATTACTCCAGACTGCACGGAGACCAAACAAAGCTCTTCAACTGGTCTCATTAAAGCCCTTTTATCTGAGAGTCTCCTTACCCTGCCCTGTTAAGAGGAAAGCTATGTGGGAATCACAGCATGCCAACAATTCTCTCCAAATAAATCTCTTCAAACCCTTTATACTTCCATGTGGGGAGGAATGTAACTCTGCCTAAATTTATAAATGTGTAAATCCTGGTTTAGCACTTCACTTTGGATTTTTGTGTCTCTTTTCCTATGCCTGAAATTTCCAATTTAACATCCTTTAGCATAAATAGAAAACACAACAATTTAAAGAAAAACCTGTACCTTGTAGCCTTCTAGGTAGCTTTTTCCCCCTACCAATCATACTCTGCCCTTGGCTGAAGCAGCTTATCTTCAGGCTTAATGGCAGGAATGGCCTTTGTGTTCTTACTTGTATGTTTATTTCTCAAACATCATATCCCACACTTCCAGAGTTCTTTCTTCCCTCTGTCTGGCCTTGAAAGGAAGAGAAGTCACTTAGGATATGTTTACATTAAGAAAAAACAAAAACAAAAACAAAATGAACTTCTTCTAGACTGTTTTTACCAACCACTAGAAGACAAATTTCCACCTAATTTTTTAGATAGAGCACAGCTTTCATCAGAGTGACTATTTGCATATTTACCCAGAGCCACTGTCTAGGTATAAATTTTATTTTAAAAAGTATAGTGCTTTCACAATAACAAAGACATGGAATCAACACAAATTCCCATGAACGATAGACTAGATAAAGAAAATGTTGTACATATATACCATGGAATACTATGCAGCCATAAAAAGGAATGAGATAATGTCGTTTGCACTGACATGGATGGAGCTAGAAGCCATTATCCTCAGCAAACTTATGCAAGAACAGACAACCAAACACCACATCTTCTCACTTATAAGTGGTAGTTAAACAATGAGAACACATGGACACAGAGAGGGGAACAGCACACACTGGGGCCTATTGTGGGGGTGGGAGGAAGGAGAGCATTAGGAATAATAGCTCATACATGCTGGGCTTAATACCTAGGGTATGGGTTGATAGGTGCAGCAAACCACCATGGCACATGTTTACCTATGTAACAAACCTGCAAATCCTGCACATGTACCCAAGAACTTAAAGTAAAAATTAAAATAAAAAAAGCATAGTGCTTTTAAAGGTAAGAGCTGATCTCTAACAATTGGCAGTAGTAGTTATAATACTATGAGGATATGGTTTTTTTTCAGAGTTTATACTTTTTCCTCTTAGACATTTTGAACCTTTACAACTTTATCAAAATATGTTAGATTTATCCTGGCTAGGTTTATGAGACTACATTTTCTTATTATTCCTGGCTTATACAGTGTAGTCACTTTGGTGTGAGAGTTTAAACTGTGGGCATTTTGTACCACATTTTTTTATTCCCTATCTGCAACTATTCATGGAGATCAATGGATGGATAAGACACTACAATATGACTGAGTTATTTATTTATTTATTTTTGAGACGGAGTCTCGCTCTGTCGCCCAGACTGGTGTGCAGTGGTGCAAACTCGGCTCACTGCAAGCTCCGCCTCCTGGGTTCACGCCAGTCTCCTGTCTCAGCCTCCCAAGTAACTGGGACTACAGGCGCCCACCACGATGCCCGGCTAATTTTTGTATTTTTAGTAGAGATGGGGTTTCACCATGTTAGCCAGGATTGTCTTGATCTCCTGACCTCGTGGTCTACGGAACTTGTGATCTGCCCACCTCGACCTCCCAAATTTCTGGGATTACAGGCATGAGCCACCACGCCTGGCTGACTGAGTTATTTATTACATGTATTGTTTGGTGATAACACTCAGAAGGATTAATGATATTTTTCTGACTATGTCAAAATATTGCTGCATTATTTGTTTACTTCAGTCAAATCTTGGTGTCAAAACTGCTGCATTACAAATGTCATATCAAAAGGTTTTGTGCACTGAACATCCAGGATAACAAATGCAGTGATCAGGGATGAGTGTCAGGAGTGTCACCTTTTCCCATATCCTTCCTTAGGACAATGAAGGAGTGAGCAGAGTGATAAAAAGCAGGGGCCTTTGAGCATGAAGGAATGGTTGGAACAAAAAAGATCCAAGAAGCCCAGAATTTGCTCATTAAACAGGAAAGAAAAAGAGACTGTGTTAGAATTAACGTGGCCAGAGCACAGGGAGAAGCTAATGAGGAATTTCCTGAGCAGGGCGAGTACAGCTGGTTGAAGCATGAAGCTGGAAGAGATAAACTTTCATGTTTGGCTAAGATTATCAAAGGAGGAATGAGTTGGAGGCATAGGAAATAGAGTTCTGTGTTAGCCATATTAGTTTTGAGATGCCTATTAGATCCAAGAGGGTTGGTGAGTAGGCAGTTGGGTATATGAATATTAAACTTCATTAAAAAATTCAGGCCCAGAGATAGAAATTTTGGAATCATCAGCAAATGGATGGATGGTGCTTAAAACTACAAGGCCGGAGGAGATCACTTAGGGAGGAGTTCAGTTAGAGATGAGGGCCCAGTGTTCTATCTGTATTTATTCATGAGTCGAGAAGAGTGCAGATTCAAGAGAGCCATTGGTCAAGAAGAATCATGGAAACTGAGATGAACAGCAAGGATGCTGTAAATCAAGGAGAAGGTGATATCACGAAAGCCAAGAGTGAAATGTATTTCAGAGAGGAAGGAGTAATGGACAGTGTCAAATGCCATTGACAGGCTGAAAAGATATGGATTGATTTTTATATTTTTTCTAGGTGTGCATATTATAAAACACATGGGATATAGGTGCTATTAATTTTTATGTAGAAAGTGACTGGCAGGAAATTTAATACTAAATCTTTCATTTCTTAGTGCAGAAACTGATTATATCAGAATTCCCTAGTTTGTTCTGGTGGGAATAAGGAGTGTTATAGGTGAAAAAGCTGTAAGAAACATGAACAACGAAATGTCTTAAATGTCTTTTAATGAAGCTTCTTGTCTATGAGATGGCATTAAATATGCTTGGAGAATTAACTGTGAAGAGAATAAATTAATACCAGTATTTCTGAAAACTTGAGAAATTCCTGTCAGCTCACTAATTTGCAGCTAAGATTTTAGCTTACTGTTTTCTAAGACCAGAAAAAACTTAGGAGAAAAGCAGCATTTAGAAAGGTGTACATGTGCCCAAGACACCTTATTAGTGAGCCATATGGCAGTTTCTCGCCACTTAAGCATTTCATTGCTTTGGTTTCTTCCTTTTCCAAATTCATAGTGAATTGCCAACAAAGCACTGAGGCTCAAAAATGACACTTCTTATTAACCTAACAAGGCATTATGGGTTATACAAGAATGTGTTAGATATTTATAGCCTGTTGAAAATTCTTGCCAACACCATCTCTGAGGTCAAAATACAAAGGCCCCTCCATCCTAATAGCATTGATGTTACCTGTAACTAGTACGTTTTACAAGCAAAATGCATTGCACTTGCAGATTTAGGATATTCTTGATGTTGCCAAATGAACAAGAATTAACATAAGAATTGGACTCTGCCTGCTTGTTTGATAAGGATGCTTTCTGAGGCCACCTACTTTGAGATAATTCCTTCTCTGCTTCCTCTCTCGAAATCATGATACCCCTTCTTAACGCCAAATCACAAAGGTACTAAGGAATAGAGGCAGATGTGCCATTCTAGTGATTTCCAGCTGGGAAGATTTTGCTCCCTGTGGGGGACATTTGGCAATGCCTGAAGACTTTGAAATCTATTTGATAAAGGCCATGGATGCTATTAAACATCTTATAATGCACAGATAAGCCTTCTACCATGAAGAATTATCCAGCCCCAAATGTCAATAGTGTAGAGCTTGAGGAACCCTGAGTTACTCTGGCGGTTTTCAGTACATAAATGACAACCCCAGATAGGTATAAGACCTAGACGAGGAAAGGGAAAGGAGAAAGAAAGAGGAGGAGCAAAAAAAAAAAAAAAAAAAAAAAAATAGGGATGGAGAACAGGAGACATTTATAGATGTAGTACGGTAGAATAAAGAGAGAACTAGGAGCAATTAGAGGTTTTTTTGTAGACACCCCGGGTTTCCCCATTTCCCAGGGTGGTGCTTTATGGGGCATTAAATGGTAGGAATTATAATTTGAGATTTTAGTGAATACCATAGGATTCACCTGTAGGTGCAAAAATAGATTCAGCCAGGTGATTACCTTCTCTAAGAAT